TTCGTACGTACGTATCTCTCTCTCTCTCTCTCTCTCTCTCGCTCTCTCTCTCTCTTATATATATATATATATATATACAAGTATTTTATTGAGTGAACATAGCTTAGCGATAGCTACTATTATCATATATTTTGATTATCCAATACATTCATCATTTTATGAACCAATCAAGATTCTTTTTCAAATATATCTCAGGCTAAAATATTAGAAAAATAGTGGATTCAACTCAAAATCATATAAAAATTATGTGACAGGTGTACATTACCCCAATGCTTAAGTCTAATAAATTTAAAAGATTTAATTAATATATTTAATCAAAAAACACTTTTAATATGTATGTAAGAGATTTTTTATAATATGACATACCATTATTACACTGAGATCTTAGTTAATATCGAAAATGATTATGTACATGGTCGGATATTTATTATACATGCTAGTCATAGGTGTCGATCACACGAGTGATAACACGTCTAACATGATGTGTATTTTTTTATTATATTTTATTTTTTTATTATTTTATATTACTTGTTGCATATATGTATATATATTGTGATGAACATGAATTTATGCAATGAGAATTGGATCTTGATGAGATCACGATAATGAGACAGATTCACCTTTAAACATCAACACTAAATAATCTCGGTCATAGGTTACTCGAAAGGAACATCGAGATAACCGAACAGACTGATGTGTTGTATACTTGTCCATATGATGGAGGTAGCTTGTCTCATAGTTGCTCGTGTGGGGACACTAGGATTATAGTGCAGGTGCTCGTTATAGAATGAGTTCACTGATTAATCCGTTCACGAAATGTTGGATGATTAATTATACCTCATTGTCAGATATCGATTCCGCTGTTCTAGTGATGTACTTGGTCCTTAGACTTGAGACACCAAGGATATCCTGTATGAGTACTCCACTCTTTGATACCGAACCTATAGGCCTGGAAGTTCCAGATCTAGCACAGTTAGTCATCGGGAGTGACAACCAACCTTATGAGGACTATTTAGTGTCGATAGAGGATCATCCACCCTCGGTGTCATTAGAGGAATATTTCATGTGTTTTTGCTCAAACAAATCCCTATCTTGGGTTATTCGGATTGAGAGAGAATGAGTTCTTCAGGAGAATTCGATTAGAGCGAGACTCGAGTAGAAATCGTATGGGTCTGACAACACCATATTCGGTATACACTTTATGGGATATTAGATGGATGAGGGATTATAGATACACGGTAATTAAGGACAAACAAGTCCAATGGATTAGATTCCCTTTTTGGGGACTGCGATGTAGTGGCCTAATACGTCCATAGTCGATGAGTTGAGTGAATTATTATAGAGATAATAATACACTGAACTAAAAGGAGTTCTGATAGGCATGACTCACAACCAGCTCGATATTGGGCTTAGAAGGTCGCACACATATGGTAGGCGTTGCGACGAGTAGAGATTCAAATATGAGATCTCCGCCGAAGCTCCTATCTTATTGGATATCCAATAAGCCCATAAATTATTAGATATCTAATAAGATCCAATAAAAGACAATGAGAGATTATTGGATAGAGATCCACTAATCTATGAGGCTTGGGTAATTGGATGAAGATCCAATACCCAATAGGGTAGGATCCATTAGGGCAAGATCCATTATGGTTAAGTTGACATAGAGCTTTTATAAATAGGAGGAAACCAAACACCCATAGGCTAGAGGTTTTTGGTTGCCACCTCTTATTCTCCTCCTCATATAGCAGATGTAGAGTTTTGGGCAGTGATTTACGAAGAGTCGTTGTAGTCCTGCTGTGTGGATCACCACTAGAGAGGACGTTTGACCTCCTTCATCCTCTCCTATAATTCTGTAGAGATTTAGGGATATACGATCTCCCTAAGTAAAACACAATTTTTCGGTAGTTTTGGGCTTTATAAATTTTGCACACTAATCTCCGCACGACGACAAATATCTTTTTGAGAAATTTGAGAATTTTGTTTTTTATTATTCTACTGTGCATATGATGTCGCCCCTAGATTTCCCTACAGTACACTTATAACACATTCAATCGTTTATCGTCGTATATGTTTACAGTTTATTTTTCTTATTTTGTCTGTTTTTTTACTTAAAAATTATGAGTAAAAATAATTTGTAGGGTTGTAGAACGATCACTCACTAAAATAGATAAAACTATCCCAAAATAACCTAAATTTTATGTGTCATGCGAAGTATCAACCATCTCAGCACCTTAGAACTATTAATATCTTAATGACACTAAGAGGAGGAGAGTGGTGAATTAGTGCAATCTCATTTTTAATCAATTTTAGAACTTAATTAATAAATCAACATATTTCGAAAAATCGATTGAACAAGTTAAAGTTGTAAGTAAAGAGAATAAAATTAAGTTAAATTAATAAGCAAGTAAAGAGAGACAAACCAATTTATTGTGGTTTAGTCTTCCAACGTCCACTTTTGATTTATCTTTTCTCAAGATTATTAGTTTGACTTTCATTATTGATCTTCTTTTCAATAGACGAAGATCAATTACTATTGTTATAAATTTTTTATTTTTGAGGCTAAAGTGAAAACGTTCATACTCTCTTTTTACATAGATCTCTTACCTCCTATAATTTAGAATCATAACTAAACTCAAAAGAAAGAGACTCAAATTATACTCAAAATGACAGTTTATAATATTTTACTAGCTTAGGAATAAATGCTCCATCAACCAAGCCTGAGAGAGAGGTATTTATAAGCTCAAAAGACTTCAAAAATTTAAATCCCTAAAATTTCAAGGTACGAGCGGTACAATCGTTGGTACTAGGTGGTACTACCATCGCAACCATGCTAGAAATCTGGACTCTAACGGTACCACTATCAGAAAGGTTGACAAAGTATAAATAGTGCTTTTCAATTGACTAAAGTGATACTATCGTTTGAGCTTGACGTTACCATTGCCCATGTTTAGTTTAGATCATTGTTTCGACCTTCTAACATGTTAAAATTCAACATAGATTCAACATAGTTTAGATCAATCGACTAAAGTGGTACTATCATTGACTTTCTTAACAAATTGATATTATTTCAGTCCAATACAAATTCAAATTGATCAATAACCCCAATCAAGACTTTGACAAATCAACCACACATCTAATACATTTACGAAGCTTTCGGCACATTGTACACTATTTCGGTATGTAACGAGGATAACCAATTGATGATAGGATTTTAACAAGACTCCTCTATCTATTTGTTATTTTCGAAAGTTATGATAAACTTGAATATTATGTATCCTTTTAGATGCTACGCTACATTTAAGTTAAAAGAAACTTAATCTTGTCGATATTATGATTCAATTATTCAAACTTAAAAATTATATAATAATAATAATTATTATTATTATATATTCTTACTATTCATAATAATTTATAAGACATGTCTCAGAAAAACGTTATAACTTTTAACATCATGGATTTGGTTAGGAGCAAGAGCAACGAGATTAGGAATGCAATGTTGGTGTGGAATCACAGTCGAGCATTTCTCACTTAGATTCACCTTGTAACCCGTGATCAGCTGAAAAATGCTAAGACCAACATGAGATGCAGCGTCAAGTTACATACGCAAAGATACAGTCGGGTACACTGATCAAGTTAAAAGAATGGACATTCACAAGTAGAGAGATAATGTTATGGTAAACATTGAATTCTTGGCAACTTTGTGAAAACAGCTTTTGTTTTTCTTGTCTCGAGGATGAAAAGGACTAAACATTCAGTAGCCAGAAACACTGATGTTATAAAGAGAGAATCAGAAGTTTCGGTGCCTGTCAGGTTACCAAACTTTTGCTGTGACATAAGAACAGAACTTTCAAACACAAGAAAGCTCAAGGTTGTAAATCTACAGTGATGGAAGCAAATGAAGAACGTGTGGTTTCATGTAGAACCAGATGAATTGCTGGAGGTTGAAGACAACAGTTTGGATGGTAGTCTCCAAGTACTGGTTGTGATTGTTGTTGTTGTAACTGGGATTCTTTCTCTCTTCGTAACAATGCTTGTTCATGGCGGTCTCTCACGTGGATGATTTCCAGATCAAACGACGGGTTCTCTTCTCCTAAGCCATTCACTATCCATGCAGTATTCAGCTATGATTATGATTCTCCACTTGATTTAGGCAACCTAAGACAACCAAAGTGGGGGCATTTGAAGGAGCTGCACACATGCTTCCATTAAGCTGATGGAGAGGGCCCTTACCCAAGGAGAACAAGTTGATGAAGTTTGTCTTGACAAATGGATCGACAGGTATCCATCAATGATTTCAGAGATGCATTTATCTTTTGATCCAAGAGCAGGAGCATGATGTTGTGTTGTGGCCATTGCAGATCATCAAGTACTCTGCTAGTGGAATCAGGAATTGTTTCATGAGTAATCAGAACAGCACTTTAGATGATGCCACCATAGACTTCGAGGGAAGTAAATAGATTTGTTGCCTGCTTCGTCCGTCAGCATTCATTCTTCCAGACCGCTAGAATGAAGTATATAACACTGTCACAACCTTTCAACTGCTTTCTGCTGATCCAAAGAGAAACAAGCAAGCAACAAATAGAGAAAATTAATTCCTCCAAAGAGAACAATCACCAATCTGGCATCAAAGACTGCTAATGGAAACTAGTAATGATTTCCTGATAATAATACAACATAAAAAAGATGTTAATGCTCTGCAAGTAAATATATTAAAAGCGTAAGGCAGTTGCAAAACAAAGAACAAGAGTAGCAAAATTTCTTGGCCTCAGAAAGATGTAAGCTGGCAAGCTGATTAATTGTATACTATTACTACAGGGGTGAACGATTACAAGGTTCCTCGTGAGGGCTCTATGAATTATCTAACATGAATTTACCAAGAATACAAAACAATCAGATGCAAGTACTGGCTAAACTGTGTGTAGATAAGTATAGCTATACTTACAGTATGCCCTCAGCGTGCAATGTTACCTGTATGCCTGCAGTGGATATTTCTTTTAATACGGTGTGCTTGCTGCTCAAAGAAACTTGGATGCTACATCATGTGTATCATCAATTTCGCTTTGTCATTCAAACTCGATAGTAGTAGTAGTACCAGTGCACCTTCCATCAGAAAGTGAAGACAAAGACTGATTTGTTTCAATCTGCAGACTTTTTGAACCCAAACTATTCTTCAGTGTCCTGAGTTTTCACACAAAGCCACAGCAGCGTTCATAAAGCATCAGAATTTAATTCTATGAGCACACATATCCTAGAAGAAAATCCATGCTTCTACAAAACATATGATCAATGTGATATTTTCAATAATTAGATTCAAGAAGAGCAGTAAGTCTATAGACATCAGTCCTCTCTCCAAGAATCCAACACTTTTAATTTCGATCATAACATCAGTAATCTTACCGAATCATGCAGTGGACGACCAAATTTACTAAAGCTCTTAACCCATTAACAACACAAATCCGTCCACCTCATGTCATAGCTTGGGAAAGATTTAGAATATTCTCTTGAAAACTGCAATGTCTTTCTTAAACAAAGTCTTATGAAATATAATCTTTTTCTGCATCCGAAAAATAACGCTAACATAAAAAAACTTCCATTCTCTTGTTTCTTTTCCTACTAAGAGGCATTGTTACAAAGATGTCCATCTATGCTAGGAACATAACCTCTCTCAATCATCTCATCCTTAATCATATTGTAAGTGACCCTGTTTGGAACCAATCCTTTCTCCAACATCTCATTTAGAAACTCATTGGCCTCTTCCATCTTACCTCTTCCACAGAAGTACTTGATAAATACGTTATAAGTGACCACATTTGCACGCTTTCCACCCCTCTCCATCCTTGCTCTCATGTTCAAAGCTGCCCTAAGGTTCCGTTTCACACAGAACGCATCTATTATGGTATTATATGTTACATGGGTTGGCTTCAGACCCACCTCCAGCGTCTCATCTAAAAGCTTGACTGCCTTCGTCAACTCCCCTTCTTTGCACAAAGCCCTAATCAGCACATTGTAAATCACAATATCAGGTCTTACAGTCTTCTCCCTCATTTCATCCAACAGCTTCACAACACTCTTCGTATCCCCATCTTTACAGAACCCATTTATCAAGCAGCTAAAGGTCGAAACATTATGACTAATACCTTTCTCCAACATCAATCGTTTCAACCCCATTGCATCCTCCATCATTCCTGCTCGACAATACCCGTCAATCAAAGTATTGTAAGTAATAACATTTGGCAACAAATTCTTCCCCATAATGACATCCAACATCCCTTTAGCCTCTGCCATCATTTTTTTCTTACAGAACCCATTGATGATAGCATTGTAGGTCACCACATTTGGTGCCAGATTCAATTCCTCCATCTCCTTCAGCAGCTCGAGGGCTTCGTTCAACTTGCCCTCGCAAGAAAGCCCATTGATCAACGTATTATAAGTGACAACACCGGGAGAAAGCTCTTGCCGCTTCATTTCTTGGAAGAACCTCATCGCAGACGAACTGTTCCCATCCTTGCAGTACCCATCGATCAAGGTATTAAAAGTAACAACATTGGGGTGGATGTTGGCATCCACCATCTGCTTCAAGAGGACATCGGCCCTATACATCTTCCCAGCCCCGCCCTTCTTGCAGTACCCATCGATTAGGGTATTGTAAGTGATGACCGAGGGCGAGAACCCCCATGATTTCATGTCCTCCGTGAGATCCCCTGCCCTCCTTAGCTTCCCCGCCTTACAGAAACCATTGATGACAGTATTGAAAGTGATCAGGTTGGGGGGAATCCTCCTACGAATCATCTCTTTATACACAGCCTCCACGGCGTCGAATTTCTCTTCTCTGATCAAAGAGCTCAGCAAGGGGTTACACGAAAGGACCGAGAGTCGGTACCCGAAATCCCGAGAACGATAAAAGACCTCGATGGCGGCGCTGGTCCTCGAGTTCTTGACGAGGGCGAGGATGAGCATGTCGGCGAGGATGGAGAGGGAGTCATGGCGCCGGCGGGAGGGCTCAGCGGAGACTGCGAGGGTGTGGAGGATGGAGACGGCGGAGTGGGGGCCGGATCTGACGAGGTAGTGAAGCTCGGAGCGGAGATCGGAGTAGAGCTTGTCGGCAGCGAGGGCGAGGAGGAGACGACAGTGAAGGGGGAGGTCGAAGGCGCGGGGGCAGCGGTAGTGGGACTGGGACCAGCGGGAGAAGCGGAGGGCGGCGACGGAGGAGGTGGACGCAGAATCGAGAAGGATGCGGAGGAAGGAGACGGCGGCATCGGCGGGTGTGGTGGCGGCGGCCGCGGCGGAGGCGGAGATGAGGGTTTTTAGTCGGGACCAGTGCTGTCGGGAGACGAGGTGGGACAGGGTGCTGGGATCGGGAGGGGTTGAGGAGGTGGTGCTGGTCGTGGAGGAGGAGAAAGAAGTGGCGCGGGTGGTTTTAGCGGGTCGGAGACGGTGATGGCGGTGGAACAGTCGCATCGAGAGGGCTCTCCAAATCCTCGAAGGTAATAACATTGTGGTGATCGGAGCGGAGAAAGTAGAAGGGACTACTGATGGACCGGTTCGACTAGGCCGTCAAATAGGGCCCAAATAGACCCAATAAGGCCTGCTCCAGTCAGAAGGGACTGCTGATGGACCGGTTCAACTGGGCCTTCAATTGGGGCCCAAATAGACCAATAAGGCCTGCTCCAGTCTTCGTATCTTAAGTCTCGATTTCCCATGTCCTCGTACCTAATGCTATGACACTAATCATAATAATCTGTATTATTATAGCACTCAAATCATTGATTCATAGTCCTATTCATGCTATCGTTGGACTTAAATAAATATGTACAGTCACTGATAATGGTCGAAAGTCACATTGAACCGCAATTGATTAGTTCGAAGCATTTAGTTGCAGTCCAACATGACACGTTGTTAGCATACCAAGGACAGGTCTGAACATTAGATTGTACATCTGTCATTTAATGGTCAATGGTCAATGGTCTTACTATTTTGTTTTCAATATCTGCATAGTTAGTTTACTTCTCATCGGGGATAATTGATAATAATTAAACATAATTTGTAGATTTATATTTTTATAACAGAGGAGACGTAGTGTTTGAGCAATTCAATGATCAGCTTAGAATAATTATTTTTCGTCTGACAGAATTGTTGACTGTTGACTGTTGACTGCTGACTGCTTCCATCTCGAAAAGAACATGTGGCTTCTTTCCTCCCATGGGGGATGAGGACCACCGGAAAAGATGAAGATTATTACATGGATCCACCGATCATTGATCTTTTCGGTCATTATCTATAGCTATGGATAAAAAGATGGCTTGAGTGCCCACAATAATTACTCTTCCTTCTTCTTCTTGCTGTTTGTTTGTTTGTTTCTTTACCTCTCTTATCCGTCTTTCCTTCTTCTAGATCTCTTTGTTCAAAAAGATATCGTTTGCTGTGGGTTAAACTAAATGTAAAGTTGATGCTCTTTACATGTCCTAATCAAACAAGTTCCAAAGACAATAATTACGGTCGTAGATCCTTTGCTTCTGGATTGAGATTTCTTAGTAGGTGCAGTTGCGGGCAATAAAAATGATATCTAAACGTGTAAGATGTGTGATACCACATGTTTTGCCTATCACATCATCACTACTGTAGTCGGGTTTACGCGAGCCCTCCGTGGATTTGTGACTGCACAACGCACTCACGAGGAAAAATGATACAGAAAGCGAACGAACAAGGAAAAGTGGACTGATCGAGAGATCAGTTCCCACCGAGGATAACAGTTGGTATGAATAAAAGCGGCTGTTGATCCAAACTCAAGACTCGAATAAAAAGTCACCGAGGTCAACAGTTTATGCATAGCGAATCACACTATCCTCACCTGCAGTACGTAGCTTCGTCTTCCTCGCCAGTTTTTCTTCGAGGAAATAGCATGTGTCAGATTCTGATTTGAAATAACCACACTGTTGGCGGCAGCTCGTTGTGGTATCTTTCTATTTGGCAGACATTATCAGAAGAGGAAACGCTGCACCAAATCCTCAACCGGTGGGAGAGCACGCAGCTCGATCATCATTCTTTGGACCCACTTCGAAAGAGGGATGAGGAGAGTCTGTCAAATTATCTACTCCCGTTGGCTGTTTGCTTCACTTGTCAATTTCTTCCGAGTCCCATCCCAGTTTTGATCTTGACTCTTGAATTGATGCGTCGTGGGGTCTCATGAATGACCTACTCGATGCGCATTACTCGATGGACAGCAGTCCATCTCATCTCAGCATCATGCCCTTCAAAGTAAATTAATGTAAAGATCGATCATCATATGCTTAGAGGATGAAATCTTGATGCCGCTTTTTGTTCTTGCCACGAATCACATCAATTTTCAGACGAGATTAAGGTGGATATTGAGGTGGGCATGGTGGATTAATAGATCTACAAGATAGAGAAAGCCTCGAGAATATATAATTTCTTATAAAAAATATTTTGTGATTCGATGGTGAGATGAAAGCTAAGCTGGTCAACCTTCAATGGACTTTGCCGAGTTAGCGTCAGACGTAACTCTTCATTCCATGTATCAACGTTTATCTTCTCGTAACGAACGAAGAGTGTTCGACTCTGGAATTGATGGCAATAGTTGCGTTGACGTCAGAACAAATTGAATAGATCCATATAGATAATTTGATGTAAATATAATTTGACCTCATCCCTCTAGATTTGCATGCAATAATACATGTAGCCTTGTCCCTTTGTAGACTGTAGAGACAGGGAGGAAAAGACTTGACTCTTATCGATGGTTTTGGTTCGATCGAATTTGGAAACGAATCCAAAAGAGATAAATTCTCAAATCAATCATTTATTAAATTATTAAAAGAGATAAATTCATTATTTATAGAGATATTTAATTATTATATTATTATTTTGACGGTTTGTAATCGAACCATAACCACTGGTTTAAGATTTTTGAAATCAAAAAATAAACTACTAAAACTTCTGATAGGACATGTCTCGGGAATCTATCCTCATCACTACTCTCAGTCACATCAACATCTAGGACATCACGTCAGACTTTTCCTTCGATAGTACAATGCCAGTAATAATAAATATTACATGTACGACTGGTCCCCTAGAGGGAGGATAAAAACCCCTTGTAAGGTCAACCAACGGGAGAATTTTGGCAGGAGCCAACCACTCAGTACTAACAAGCTCTTCGGATGGATCGAAGTTGAGAACTCCTTCCCGACCCTAACCTATGTGCAGGGACCGGAGGCCAAGCAAATGGTCAACCCAAAAGAGTCCTAGGTCCTGAAGTAAGAGCCCTAGCCCGATCTCATCATGTTGTGATTGTCAACGACCGAATGTCGACGCGGATGATCTTGCGCACCCAGGAGTGAACCAAGTCATGCCAGCTCGCCCTACCATAGTTCGAAGGATCACTATCAACTTCAATTCAGAACTATCGAACTATTAATTCCAATTTTTGATCGATCTTATCTTGAGTATTTTTTGTTTAATTAAGATGGACAGTAGGTAGCAGGTGACGCCTATAAGAGAGTGAAAGCCTACATCACATTCCTCGCTTGCGTATGGAAACGGGAAATATATTAGACTAACGCTACACATAGGAGCT